TCATATGCAACCCATTTCACCTGTGTGCATGTATGTTTAGAATTTGCTTTGGTATGAGTCGAATCTCTGCATATTAGCAGTGGGATAATTGCATTGCAAAGTGGGACATCTTTGTTACATATAGTTATGTAGTACAGCAGGCCATACACTGTACAATACAATTTTGTTACCTCTGTACAAACTCGATCAAAAGAAGGTTGTGCAATCAGATTGAAGAGTGTATGGTTACCTTTATTCAGGTTAAAAAAAATATGGATATGGAGTTCAACCAAAAGACAAAAATAATGTAAAACACTGCATACTCGGTGCCCTAACCCACAGCTGATCCAGGGGACTGTAAAACAACCTTGTGGTCCAATCTGCTAAAGTGGGGGGAAACAATCCTTCCTGAATACCTACAACACTGGTTCCAAACCTTTATTTGTTTCACTTGCATTCCCCTTGGCAGTCCATTTCCATAACTTGTCCCCTTCCCCCTCCAAATCAGTCAGTACCATACTAATACTGCCAGAAACATGTCCACATATATACAATCAGCACCATACTGACACTGCCATAAACATGTCCACGGCTATACAATCATTACAATACTTACACTGGTTATGGTGGTGTCAGTACAGTACTTCATGTAATAAAATAATTTGGCCTTTAGGGATAAGATTACAAGCCTTTTCATTAGCTTAGCATGATTAAATGTAAGTAATCTAGCCCTTTGATGACTTACATTTAATTTTATTGTGCTAGTGGAAGGACCTGTAATTTTACCCCTAAGGGCCGGATCACACCACAAACAGTGTGCTCCAGAGTGGTCAGCCTCTGGAATGCACTGTATCCCAACGCGGCCGGCTCCCTGTGTTCAGGAGAGGGTTTGGTGGTGCATTGGAGTCAATGGCAATGCAGCCACGGCCCCCGCCTGCAGTGTGATTGACTGCACCTGAATGAGTGGCACATTGGTGTCTGTGTTCTGGTCCAGTGCGATCTGCAAAATTGTTGCAAGCACTATTTTTGGAGATTGTACTATTTTTGCAGATTACGATCTGCAAAATTGCTGCAAGCAACACAGTGGACCACAACGCAGGCACCGATTTGGCACGCATTTTGGTGTGGGCGATTACACTGTGGGCGGGGGCGTGGCTGCGGTGCCATTGACTTCAAAGCACCACCACACCGCCTCCTGCCCCTGAACGCAGGGAGCTGGCCATGTTGCGATACAGTGCGTTCCAGAGGCTGACCACTCTGGAACGCACTGTTTGTGGTGTGAACCGACCCTGAAGGTCAAATTGTTTGCATTCTAAATCATTTAATAGGCATCATACAGATTCAACACAGTTTAATGTTACTCACCAAGTCCAGCAGGAGCACTCTTTTGTCTTGGCTCCTCTCCAGGTGATTTTTGAAGGGGAACCTGGCATCTGGCTCTGGGGGGCACTGAACAGAATGATGGCAGTGCAGTGGTCACACAGTGGTGGCTATGGGTATATATTGATGCTTTACGTTTATACATTTCAGTGTATACAAGGCAAGACACTGGAGGACAAGTATACAGTGACCTGATGCACCATAAATCTCCTCTTCCTGGGCTCCCTCTGAGTATTGCAGTATGTTGGGCCATTGTTGTGAGTGCTGCAGTGCACAGTATGGCCCAGAGTTTGGGTGGGTTGCTGCTGCACAGACTTAAGGGCAGAGGTGGGCACCTGTACAATGTGTGGCAGTGTGCTATGACTACTGTTGGCGTGTAGTATTAAATTCTCAAACTTTTTTTCAATTATGAATCCAGATCAAACAAATATGCATTGCCCAGTAAAGCATTGCTTTACATTTTTGCCCAAACACTTACAACCATCATGTTTATGAACAGCTGCTTTCAAGTCTCTCAGCTTGGCTTGCCTGAACTTCCTGTCCAGTACAAGATCACAAAAGACAGTGCAGACCCCAGCAACTGATCATCTACTAGCTTGGAGAAGGGGGAAGGGATGAGAGGAGGCCACAGGGGAGGGAACTAGTTTGATTTGCTGTGTCTATGTGTTTGTGGAGACACACAGCTTACTAGCATACACAATGGTGACTGCATAGCACTCAGCTTGAGAAAGGAGTGACTCTAAAACAGGAAGTTCAGGCCAGTTCTCAGAGGACAAACTGTTTCTGCAGGAAACCAAAACTTTAAACATCAAGGAGCAGCATTCATTGTCAGTGATTTTGTCAGCATTTGAAATAGCTTAAAACCCTTTTGACTTTATCATCACTTTAAGCAAGAGGAGGGGGATTTAAGACCACTAAATGTCACCTGCCCACCTAGGCCTGTGCTGTCTGTTGCTTATCAACTACAGTAAGTGACATTTGTTTACAGATACACTACCACCATTTCTTAATTTTTTCACACATCATAAACATCCTGCAGCATACCCCTGAGGATACACAGGCCCCAGGTTCGGGACCACTGCCCAAAGGCAATCGGATGCTCCCTAGATTAACAGTTTGCAGTGTTTCTTCTTATAAATATTAATAACCAGTTATAGTTTGTGAATTAAGAAACATACCCAGACTTATTTTTAATCTACAGAGTTAGCCATAACTTACTCCTGTGGTAGTCTATTGCACATTTTCTTACTTACTGTAAAGAAGCCCTTTCAAATGCTGAGGTTAAACCTCTTTTCCTCCAGGAACAAAAAGTGCCAATTTCACTGACCTTTAAGTGTACTTCCACTTTTGCAGCCAAATTGGCATAGTGCTTATTTTATATTTGTTACATGTTTCCATGTAATAAGCTAAAATAAAAAAAAATCTTCTTGCAGTTTAAATTGCTTTTACTTGGGTTAGGGTTTTAAAAGTTAAAATGTATTCTTCTATTTCTGTTAGTAGGGGCTGTGAGGGGTGAGAGGTATTGTCCATTGAGAGGTGGCTTGTCCATTGTATATCATTGAAGCCTATCAGATAAACAGAATCCTCAAATTTCAGTCACAAGACTTTCCATTGGGGCAGACACTATGAAAGGGCTAAGAAAAACCTATAATCAGACCCCTTGCCTGATTTAACAAAACATCCAAAAAGTAGGACATTTTTTCAAAAGTTATTTTTCAGTATGCTGTGTGAATAGGAACAGATAACGAACATATGGAGGGGTTTTCCTAAATTTGACTGCAAAAGTGCAAATACCATTTAGATGAAAACAGGGGGATTTTCCCTTAGCTTGGTGAATGTGGTGAAAATTCACTTTGCAAAAAATAACCCAATTATGAGCTAGGGGAAAAAAAACCTGTTTAGTTTTTTTTTTGCACATGATTGGATGATGAAAGTTAGCAGCGCTTCACCTCATTTACTAAGCTGAAGAACGTATTTGGCTTTAGTAAAACAACCCAGGTGTGTTTAAATAGATGGCTCGGAGAGAGTTTTACTGAGTGCTTCCGAAATCTGAAAAATGAAACAGACAGCAAGGGGATTCATGAGTTTGTGGCCTGAGTAGCTGTACATAACATTTTAATCGTTTGCTGTGTATATTGATCCTCAAGTTCCTCAATTATCACACATTGTTTCTTGTAAATTATTACCCCTAAGTAAAAAGTTTTACTATGGTAGGCATCTCAATTACAACTAATGTATTTCCACACATACAGTGCATCCTTTCAATCACTTAAAGCAGCTGAATTATGTATCTTGTTAGCTGCTCTTTATTGTTCCAAAATGAGATGCAGCTTGGGGCACCTCAGAGTGTTATTCATTTATTATGTTAGTTTAAGGCATGAACCTATTTTCCAGGGCCCTCATTGACTTGCATCTTTACCTATAGATTGTGCTGCATATCACACCATTGCAAACAACAAGCTGTTGCACCCTCATTCTGTGTTGCTGAGTAAATCAGTTAGGGGAGGGTTTTGTTTTTTTATGCCAAGCAATCCAGTGATTTTATATGTTTTAATCTCTGTACAGTGAATACACAAAGCCAGTCTGCAAACAGCATCTAAACAGACAATGAAGGCAGAGAAAATGGGAATGCATACTGCTTCTCCAAAGCCTATGTGTAAGGAGCATTCTGATTAAAGCACAACACAAACTAAATGCCTATTAGAAGACCACAAAAGCTTGAAGGAATTAAGACCACTGCTTTCTCTTTCTATATAATGTGTAGAATACAGTAAGGCTTTCAATGCATCATGCTAGTTGCCACATCTGCAATACATTCCCAAAGCTATACATGCATATAGTGATGACAGGATGTGCAGTTATTCATTGTCCATTGCAAAAAAAAATACATTTAAAGTTCCATTTCATAAGCTGTTGAACAAAATACACAGAGCTTTCTGGCTGCTGGTTTCTTAAGTGATGGTAAGGAACTGCATTTACATAAGATATTTAAGCTTTACACTTACATTTTTATATTGTGAACCTACTGACTTAATTTGTGAATGTTACAGCATGCAGGTATCTATATATTATAAATGTATATATGTATATGTGTGGGAGTGTATGTGTGTATGTATGTGCATAGAAATACACATGCATATACACACACTCACAAAAATGACTACAATAAACACCCATATGCACTGTGCCCTAATCGCAGTAATTTTATTGCCTTTCTATTCAGAGACCCTAACAACAATTGGCAGTGTTCGTTGTGCTGTGTTTACTTGTTCTTTATATTGACAGTTGGTACTATAAGCCTTTTAAACAACAAAGGCAAGCCGCTCTACAGCCAATCTGTGATAAAAGGGGGAAAAATGAAATCACTATGGAAACTGGAGGAAGGATCTAACAGCTTTCTTTCTAGAGTAAATGTCTGATGTTTTGTGACTGCAGGGAAATAAAATTCATAAATTTGTATGATGTTATCATTATTGTTTTGTTAGATGATGCCATTTTCAAATCATCAGACCTTGGTTTTATTGAGTGATCCCCTTGCTGAAATAGTTACTGTTTTGCACTAGAAAAACAAGAATGTGATGAGGGGAGGAGTGTAGAGCTAGTCTGCTTCTTAAATAATGATTTTTTTTTAAATCACACAGAGCTCCTGGGTCCTGGAATGAAGACCACAGTGAGCTTTTCAGCAATGCAGCAACCCGGGGAACTGAATGCCAGTCAGAAAACAGTGTATCATCCAATTGCATGCCTGCCTTTGATCTTGGACTGAGAAACTCAGAACCTCTCCCTCCAATCCAGAAGCAAATAAATACTAAGGAGAAGAGACATCCCTCGATTCAGAGCACAGACACTTCGAGACAGAAAAACCAAGGCGACTCTCATTATAAGAGCACAAATGAACCTGTTTGGATTGCAGACTGCAGCAAATACCTGTCTCCCCCTAGGAGTTTGCCACTTCTTCCAGCATCATCAGACAACGCAGACAGCCCTGGCTTACATAGGCCACTGTCTTTCTCTCAAGACAAAGCCAGTCATTCTTTCAGCACACCTGCAGCAGAGCAGCACAGAGAACTGGAGGGGACTAAACACTCCACTCAGCCTGAAAGCCAGCCAATCTCCGCACATACTCGCAAGAAATCAAAGCACAAATCTCATGGTAAGTGAAATACATTTATTACACAATATATGTATCACTGATGAACTGCTTTTTCTTTCAAATCAAACATTTTTTTCCAAAGTATCATTTTCTATAAAATAAAAAGAGCAAAATAACAAGTACCATTTATTTTGATTTTATTTCAACATAATGCCTCATAAATCTCAAGGATTTTTTCAGTCTTTTGACTTTTTTCAGGTTTTTGCATGCAAGCATTATGATTTTCTAATAATTCTGTCACATATTGAGACATAATGCTTTGTTTTGAACTTAAATTTAAGGTTGTGCTGCAGAGGATTGGAGACAGCATGATGCAATGACCACAGCAGCTCTCAGTGTGATGTTTCCTCCATCGACCTACTCTACACACGGTCTCTCCAGACCAGCTACACCTACTGAAGGGCATCTAGACAGGTGAGTGATTGAAAGAACTTAAAACTAGACATAGTGACCAATATTTATTCTTTATCAACCATGAAGCGCTCAACTATGTTGTATAAAATCGTGATAATAAGTAGAATTCTCAAGTTTCCAACAACTGTTGGAAAGTAGCATTTTGTGTATATTGTGCAAAGATCATTAGATTAGCATCCATTGCTAATTCAAAATAGCCTGAGTTGGCTGGATGTACTGTAAAGTTAATACACACAAAGCATTCCCGGTTCTTTTCAGCAACAAGTTCAAAGTATAGCCGGTCCATTAATCTAACCAAATGCACATTCATCATACTGTTTCCAAATCACTGTTTAAGCAAGCATGCTTTGAGTCTCATAATTACTAGGTCTGCTCTGAATAATAAATCTCCCCTATTGTATGTAGGGGTAATAGACCGTGTTTTCTATACATTTATTTTCACAAAGAAACTCCAAAGGGTGGGCACACAAACCAGAGACTCTGATTAAATGGTAAATAATGCTCCATGGCTTTAAATTCAGTCCTTACAGAGAATTGTCAGTCTAGGGACTAAATTGTAATGATTGGAATAAAAAAATAAAATAAAGAATAATAAAAATAAATGTTATACACACACACACACACACACACACACATATATATAGTATACAGGGGTAGGTAAATATATAATATTCAGTAGAAGAACTGGAATCACTTTGCATGAATCCAAGTTTCATGGTCCTTTGTAAAACTACAGTACCTAAAGTAATTTTTATTACCAAAAAGGAAGAAAAACATTTCACATGATCTGCATATTGTTTGTAATCATGCTATGCAGAGCCATTTGTCTGTTCATAATCTGTAGATGATATTATTGAAGTCACTGACTTTTTTTTTAGTACTTGCTTTCTGGTTGTCAGAAAGAATTAGAAGAGTCGAACCAAGTGCAATGCTTAACCAGTACAGGGTTATCTGGGGTTAGAAAGCTGAAATACAAGTAGCATGTCTGTTTTCTGACAATAGAGCCATAGTGTGCTCACAAAAGCAACCCTCTTCTCAGGCTGTAGCTGATAGCAACACATAATAACCTGCTTTATATTTATACACTGATTGCTGACAGAGAACAGTCTGGTTTCATTTGAGTATGATGTTTAAGTCACATGCTAAGAGCACAATATTTTTCGTAAGGACAGTATTTCCAGTATCTACACTATACTCAAGGTTTTGTGCATGTAAAGGAGTAATCTCTGCAAAAACATGTAACACACCTTTCAGACTGTTAAACTGATCAACCCTAATTATGGACTGGATAGGTTCTGCAGGTCAAAATTATTGTAATTTATTGTGAAATATTATTGTAGGTCTGTTTTTGTGCCCTTTTATTTTTTAGTGTTCTGAACAAAATTATAATGTTTTGTCTATTTTTCTTATGTAGCTAGAAATTAACATTCCTGCTTGTTAAGGCACTGTACTTACTGTTCTGTATTAGAACTGTCAAGACCTGTCAAGTATACATGTAATATATAGAGCAGGTCTGAGTAGAACTGTGTACTTCACTACTATAGAACTAATAATCTCAAAGTGATATGTAAAGCTGTAATGTTTACAGACATAAAATGTAATTAGAAGGCATACTGTATAGAAGGTTTTCTTTTTTTTCTGAAAAATAATAGTCCCCATGATTAAGACCTGGGTGTCCATTCTAGAATTATCTTGCATAGTATAGTGTCTATCATTGGTGTTTCCAAAACCCTGTCATTTATTTTACTGTATGACCACTTGTAGTTCCTTTTAGAAAATTTAAATTCACCTACACCATGATATAGTACATTAAAGATCAGGCTATTATTTATGATTATATTTTAATATGGAAACACCCTTCAGATTATTATACAGCAGAAGGTAAGATCTGTAACTAAAGAGATCAGTAGAAATACACCAGGGTTCTGTTGGTGTAAAGAAATACAAAATGAATGAACATATTCTATTCTAAGCAAAAGTAATGATTGTACTACAAACGATTGTGAGTATATTGTGAAAGAAAAATTTATATTATAAGCATTGGTTATGTCTATACTGTACAGGATCATTCATCAACATCATTAACTAACTGCCTTTTATTGCAGTATTTAGCTATTGTATGTCAAATGCACAGTAACGGGGTATAAAATAGTCAATTAAGAGTTAAAAGCAAAGCCCTGGCATTTGCTTGCTGAAATCTGTCAGAGTCTGAGCTGATTGGATTCATGTCTGCCTCTTGAACAATAGTTACCTGTATGCTTTCTGGGCTGCTTGGCAGACCCCAGCAGTATGTATAAGGTCTTCCTCTGTTAGACAGTGATCAACGAGAATCCCTAATGACAGTCACTTTTCATTAGAAGGAGGGGAAAAAACTGCATACCTTCTTGATGAAGGACAGAACTTTGAAGCTTTTACTGGTGTCATTTCCATTCAGCCTTGACTTGGCCTGAGGTTTTGGTTCTCAGTCTACAAGTCAGCAGGCTATCACTTCTTTCTTCCTCCACCCCCTTGTATTGCTCTGCACAAGCAGATTAGTGTCACAGCTGTAACAGGCACAGTAATACACATTACAGATACAATCTCCATGGTGGCAGGCCAGCATGGAGGTAGGACAATAGACAAGTCTACTGATTTTTTTTTTCTTTAATTTGTAAGTAAGGTAGCTTAAACTTTGAGCTATAATGTTACTCTTTCTCAGAACATTATGGTATGCTCCGTCAACAATGCATTTAACTCAAAAGTACACTGTTTTGTCCATGCTGGTAAAAGCCTGTGAGCAAACACAATAAGATAGAGCAGTCCACATTATGCTTGGTAACTGAGCTGGCTAAGAAGCCTGGAGGACTTAATTCCTATGAGAGACAATCATTCAAACATTACTTTAACAGCATGCATAATAATCAGTAATATATGACACATGAACATGCTGTTCACAGTACATATGCAATATTAAACATCAGTGCTCCACAATCTAATTTGTGATTGTATTTACACTCTGTAAACTGTACCAAGGTCACATAGTTTTAAAAATTAATGAGGCTTGCTGCTAGTTTCAGATGATACCCTCCACTGCTGCTGCAGATGAATGCCATTATTGGTACAGAATTTAGGAGAAAACAATCCATATAGTAAAAGAGCATCAACTGGACAAGGTTTGTTGATGATAGTATAAATATGAATTATAGGAGCAAATGTCTTGCCCAAGAATATTACTATAGCAAAAAATTAGTCTGAATCCACAATTGACATCTGCATCTCATACATAATATTTATTGTAGTATATTTTATTGACTTGGAATGTCAATGCAGTATTTTAAAAAGAAGACCTGGCAATCTTTTGATTCACGAGCATGTGCAAGTAATTTGATTCAATTACTTGGAAGGGTTAATGTTTGCTATAGGTATTAAGGTGCTATGGGAGATTATTTCATCATAAAGCCTGTTGTGATTGACGTGAAAAGATCTAATCTTTTTAATTTTAGCTCTCCCACCAATAGGGATGAAAAGGGATTTAGGTTAATTTATTGGTTTTTAAATCACGATGAACAGTCCTTTTTAGGAATATTTTTCCCCTAATCCATGCAATTTCAAGGCTTCAGGTAAATCTGATTTATTTTTGAGTAGGTTTGTAATCCTTCATATGTGTAGTGTATATGGTCACCTTTGTCAATCATCAGTTAATAGGACATTGGCATAGTTATGTGTTTATTCCATTTTGAAATAGATTTTCAGCAGTGGAAGCATTCACTAATTATATACATAATAGAAAGTAGCCACTACTACTAATTTTTAATTGTATAATTAGGAAAAAAAATTTTTTTCTTTAATGCTTAAAGCACCTGCATGTTTAATAACTGTGTTCTAGGTACATCTTCTTTTCTTTATTTGGTTGTTTAAGGCTGTACATGTGTGGTTGTGTGGAATTATATGCAAAGAGACATGTCTATATGAATATGAGCAACATAGAATGTTATCAGCCTTAGATGGTTTTTTTATGTATAAAGTTTTTTTTTAGATCCTAAATCCTAATATAAATCACATAAGAAAATATATAAAATATGACATTTTAAATATGAAAAAAATCATTTAATCCTGTAAGCAGAATGTAGGCATCAAAATGCTAACTACTGAAATAACTAAATGTATGAGAAAAATAATGACCTGTGTAATTTAATGGTGCATACAGATGTCTTCATAACTGCTTGAGCTCTGTTGGACTGCAGGTCAATGTGTTACCGAAGGGGTTACATAAACCTAAGTGATATGCAAACTATATGCAATGCAATAAATCTATATAATTAGGTTGAGAGTGTCACAATTGCAGGATCTGACATATATTTGTGCAAAAGAGCAGCAAGCCCTGTTGCTTATCAAGGTCAATTGGTTCGAAATACATTATAGCCACTTGCAGGCTACATTGAGGATGATTAAATATAATAGCCCAATACTAAAGCAATTATTCATTCCCACCACAGTAGCAGCGGGTATCTGGATTTTAAAAAAATGGAGATTTCTATGTACAAAAGGGGAAATGCCAGCTATTTGCTGGAAAGAATAACACGATCAAAACTATTTAGTTAACATAATGGCAAGTGTTCATGTAAGTCCCAATTGTTCTACATTCAATTGCCATGATATTTGTAGCTGTTTTGTTAAAATGTCATGCTTAAAGCACTCCTTTACTGAAATATGTTTTTTTTTGGTAACTGGTATAAAATTGCATGCCCTTCATAATACACGTCGGGGTGCTGAATGTTCTTAAAATACAAAACAATCATTTAGTAATGCAATGGAAATCTCTTTGATAATGTGCAAAAACTCATAGCATCCAATCAGATTTCAGTCTATGGAAATTAGATCAGTGAATGTGGATTCTGATTGGCTATCAATAGATAGTGTATTTTGGCGTGAGCACTAGTAAATATGACAAAAAAGTGTAGCTGTATTATATTCATATTTGATAAATATTATGTATTTCCGTAGTAGGTCCAGCAGCTCCT